AAAGTGGGTTTACAGTCATGAGTATGGGAAACAGTTTATTCCTGTATTATTATTTATTCATTATTGTATTAATATCCATACAACAACTGTAAACTTTCTTTAGCTACACCCTGTACATATGTAAAGTCATTACATTCCTTCAATCACGAAGAGTAAAGACGATTCAAAGAACAAGATGTGAGTCATATGGCTAGTATCTCTTCTAGGCTTAATTCAAGGGCAAGAGCAAACCAAGGATGCCAGAATTAGAGGCAGCCTGCCATATCCACAGGTTACACATCAGGTGGATACCGAGGGAGGACTATACTTGGAAATTATAACTTAAAGAGAGCCAGTGAGCGACCTAATTTGTCTTTCCTATTCATAAAATAAAGAAACAGAATTGTCATGATAGTAGGTGGCTTTTATCAATGCTTTTCAAACCATAATTGCATATAAATCACCTGCGGATCTATTAAAACAAGTATTCAGATCTATTCTATCTTAGGTTGGGTTTGAGATTTTGCTTTTCTACTAGGTCCACAATTTCCAAACTGTTTGTCGAGGAATTCCACAGCACCTCAGTAAACTCACAGGGGCACACAGGTATTTTAAATTTACAAGGGAAACATAGTGTCATCTATCAGACAACATATAAACTACAAACAGTAGTTTGCAGTATCAACATTAAATTACAATTTATTCTTTATAAAGTCCTATCTGTGTGAAATTGAGTTTTTGGCAGTTGCTGTCACAAAACACAAATATTGCATAAAAATCAATGTAGAACAAGAAATTAGCCCTAGCCGGTTTGGCTCAGTGGGTAGAGCATTGGCCTGCAGACCAAAGGGTCCAGGGTTCAATTCCAATCAAGGGCACATACCTCGGTTGCAGGCTTCTCCCTGCTGGGGCCATTGTCAGGGGTCATGCAGGAGGCAACCAATCAATGTGTTTCTCTCACATCAGTATTTCTCTCTGTCTTTCCCTCTCTCTTCTACTCTCTTTAAAAACCAATGGAAAAATATCCTCTGGTGAGAATTGAAAAAAACAAAAATGAAATTAAAGTGGTACTGTCCAATCAGATTCCAAGATTTAACAATTCATGTAGTGCCAACAGACACACATATCCCATTAGTAAATATTAAGGGCTATTTAATAATGGATAAAATGTTATTTTTCTCTCAGTTTATGTATATTATTTTTTCAATTGGCTAAATTGTTAGGATACCAGTGCTTATTGTTTTATTTATTTTTTACCTAAATAATTAATAAATTGGCTATTCAGGTATTACTTTTGGTCCAGGAGCACCATGATAGTATCACTGAGATACTGCAGGCTCCCTGAACTGACAAAGTTTCAGAATATCTGTTTTAGGTAATGCAATGTTGCTAGTCCATGAACTATCATTTGAGTTTCAAGGCCTTCAAGAATAAGCCCCAAACTCCTCATGTTATATATGAGAAAATTCTGGCTCACAGAAATTGTTGGCAGGGTCAAGACATACAACACATTCTGCAGATTTTTAGTCTGAGGACTTCCCTAACTAATACCTCACACTATTTCCTTGTATCACTAATTAGTGGCTCACCACATTGTTCTGTAGCCACTATTCAAAGAAGTTCCTCTGTAAGCAAGGGGCCCTATAGATGGAAGAAAATTTAAGAACTCACAAATGCTTAAGCTTGGGAGAAATTTAGGCAGTTAAGGAAATTTTACTACTAACCAAACTTTATGCTCTTAACCAAGCCAATGCTGTGATTTAAAATAGAGCTTTCTCTTGCTCTCACTCTTGCTCTTGCTCCCTCTGTCCGTCCCTCCCTCCTTTCTACTCTATCTAAAAGCAATGAAAAAATATCATTGGGTAAGAATTTAAAAAAATAAAATAGAGGTATTTATTCTAAAGGTAAATCAATGGTAAATAATTTTGGACCATGTATCTTTTGACTAGTCCTCATATTCTAATGTTTAATGAGTGTGTTTTTTTTTGGGGGGGGATACTTGGATTTTAATAATTTTATTTACCTTTTATTTATTTATTTATTTTTAAATTTTTTACTTATTTATTTTTTATTTTATTTATTTTTTACAGCACCAAGGTACATGCCCTTGACCAGAATCGAACCTGGGACCCTTGAGTCCACAGACTGATGCTCTATCCACTGAGCCAAACCGGTTAGGGCTGATCATTTTATTTACCTTTTAAAAGAGAACCTCTGGTTAATTGAATACAAATCAGAAAAAGCTATATGCTGGAAAATTGCCCACCTAACCAGATTTCCTGTACCATAAAATTTGTGAAGTATGGTTGGAAAGAAGGAGAAGGAAAGATTGAAAACTCACAGTGTCTGAGTCAACATCAGGCACATTTAGGTAGGTCCTTTTCTTGTCAGAGCTGGCTTGAGAATTCTTTAAGGATGTCACACGAAGGTCAAAAGGAAAAAAAAGGTATTAAAATAACAGATAGACATTAGAGAAGCAAAGAAAAAAGTTACAGACATATAGATGGGTAAAAGGTAGCAGGGGTTCCTAAAGGCTACCTCTTAAAGAAAGCCTGAACACTAAAATAAGAAGGGTCTTCATTCTGTTGGCAGTGGGAAACTATGGATGCTGTTTGAATAGGAGAGAAACCTGACTTGGTATGTGTTTCAGGAGAATGTCTGCCCGCAGTGTGGAGAACAATTAGGGAGTTGAGAGAATGGTGGCAGGGAAATGTATCAGCAGAGAATTGAGATAATTTATAGGCTTGAGCTGAACTAAGGACTGAAGAGGTCTTAAAGCCTATGTGAGGACCAAGGAAGAAGAGGGAAGCAATGAGAAACCTTAGGAAAAGTCTACACAAAATTAGACCAAAAAGTACTCTGTGGGCTAAGGACAAGTGGAAGACTATAATGACTTAACTCACTAACAGACATTGTCCCAAAAACATTCATATGCCCTTTGGAAGTGAACAGAAAATCAACAAGAGAAAGAATAAACTTCCAGTGCATTAGAGAACTGCTTACTCTTGACAGGTCACTTGCTAGGCTGTGGGTGTTTGCAGAAAACCTGGAGGACACTACATCATCAATACTTTCTTCAGTTTCTTCTGAGGAGTCCTAAGGAAGGGGGCAAATATCAGTGGTTTGGTTTACTGTTTTCCTAGAAAGTCACTTCACTCCCCAAATCACTTTCTTTTTAAAATACCTGAAAAATCATATACAAATATCTAGAAATTGCCCTATTCTAGGTTTTCCTCTTTTGCTATCCATTCAACCTGAATTATATCATCAGAGGAGTAGGGCCTCCTTCCTAGTGGAAGCTTTATGGAAAGAGAATGAAATTTAGAATCACACAGACCTGGGTGATATCTAAGGTGATTTACTTTGGGCAATTAAATTATTTTTTTATTAAAAAGTGTTTGATCTGTGCATGTATGCATGTGTGTGTGTGTGTGTGTGTGTGTGTGTGTATACTGTTAAGATGGGTGCTCCAGGTGACACTCCAACCAACTGAGCCACCAGCCAGGGCTAAAATCATATTTCAATGGTTTATATTAGTTTTATTAAATTTGTATTTTTATTAGGTATGACTGTTAAATTTTGTCAATAGTTTTCAGCATCTAGCAAAAATAGTTTTGTATTTTCTCCTTTAATATATTGAAATATTAGCTATGTAATACATATTTTCACATAGATTAATTCTTCCATTCATTCTTAGAATAAAACTTATCCTTATTGCTATATTTTTCATTCACTGCTAGGTTTTACTTATAGTTTTTTAATTATTTTTAAATCAAGTTTGAGAGTGAAGTTTATAATAGTTTAAAACTATGAATTTGAAGATTTTTTAGAGTTTTTAAGATCAAAAACATTTTTATAATATTGGAATTAACTGTTCTGTAAAGGTTGAGAACAAGTAAACTTTGAAACCATTTGATCTCATTATTTGCTTCCTTTTTTTTTTTGGTGGTGGATTTTAAGATACTTATTATTTATACAACTAGTGGCCCAGTGCACAATATTCGTGCACAAAGGGGTGTGTCCCTCAGCCTGGCCTGCACCCTTTCCAATCTGAAACCCCTCGAGGGATGTCTGACTACCAGTTTATGCACAATCCCTCTCACAATCCGAGACCGCTGGGTCCCAATCACTCGCCTGCCTGCCTGCCTGATCCCCCCTAATGACCCTGCCTGCTGGCCTGCTCACCCCCAACTATCCCCCCTGCTGACTTTCTTGCCCCAAACTGCCCTCCCCTGCTGGCCTCATGGCCCTCAACAGCCCTCCCTGGCCAGCCTCATGGCCTGCAACAGCCTTCCCTGGCTGGCCTCATGGCCCCAAACTTCCCTACCTGGCCGGCCTCATGACCCCTAACTGTGCTCCCCTGCTGGTCTCATGGCCCCCAACTGCCCTCCCTGGCCAGTCTCCAGGAAGGTCTCCCGGTCTAAGTAGCATATTACCCTTTAATTAGTATAGATAGTAAATAAAATTGAGTTTTAGAACTGTAAGTTTCCTGCCTTGCTTTAGAAAAATTATATTATTGTCATTTAATACTTGTGTCATATCTTTCTTCCATGGAGTTCAAATTGCATTATAGCAATTATAGAACTCAGAATATCACAACATTAGAAATGGAAGGAACATTACCAATAATCTAATTCAACTTTCTCATTTTATAAATTAATTTTCCAATAATTTAGTCTTAATCAAGAAAGTAGTTTATTGAGAATAACTTGAGATGTAGAAATGTTCATATAAAATACATAGTCAGATTAAATCCAGTAATATTTCATTTAGAAAATGTTGATATTTCCCATTTCCCAGGTTTAGATTCAGTAATGTGCTTTTAGGTAGGAATTGAAATTCCCAACAGGTGTTTCTTAAGGATAATCTTTCCAGATTAATCTGATTACCTCTTACCTTTACTAAATCATTCCTTAGTTATTTTTGTATGCTGGTTGTGAAGACTAATCGAAAGAGATTATTGTATATCCTCACTTTACCCTCAACTCATCCTCATGTAAAAGTGGACAAGTTTTGAACAATATCATGCCTTTTCCCCATGATCATTGGACTCTTTTCTGTATCCAACTTACCAAATCTTTGTCTAAAGCCCCAGGGACATACTTGCTTCTTAAATTTACAGTATCCTTTAAGTCTTCTTTAAATGACCCATTCAAATCTAACTCAGATTGAGTTTGGTCTGGGGGAAGGAAGAGAAAAGGAAAAATATGAATCACCTTATTTTCTACAAGTTTTCACTTTTCATTGTAAACCTTTCATCTTTATTCCAATTCTTTGTAGGCATGGGACATAGTGTTATGAAAGCAAGTGTCAGACTCAGTAACTTTCTGCTGTTTATGCTAACATACTTTCATTTTAATAACATTTTGAAATTCCCTTGAACTGAATTACCAACACTGATGTATTCATTTCTCCTTTGATCATAGGAAACTAAATGCTCTATTACAAAATGCTAATTTTAAGGTGTTTAAGTCTTCTGTTTTGCTCATAGATTTTGAAAAACTCTCTCAGAATGGACCCTTAAGCTTAGAAAAAATAAAACATTAACCATTCTTGATTTTAAAATTTATAAATCAAATAAAAGGGAGTGGCTACAGGTAAATGGGAGAAAATTCTATTTTCCTTAGGTACCAGAACATTTTATAATCAGAAGAATACCTTTCTTTTGAAAATATAAGTTAAAGAACTATACAGTAGTCAGTAATGTTGTGGAAAACTTTTCAAGACACAGTTTATTTCCACAGAATAGTTCTATGTCAAAGCCCCGCTGATGTAGATATCATTGCTTATAAATAAGAAAGATTTAAGAGAGCAATCAAGTAAATAAGTTTGAAATGGTAAGTGATATAAAGTAGAAGTATTTAGCATAACACCTGACACAGTATATACTCAATAAACAGGAAGTGTTCAGTAGTAGAAATACAGCCTATAGGACAGTGGTCGGCAAACCGCGGCTTGTGAGCCACATGTGGCTCTTTGGCCTCTTGAGTGTGGCTCTTCCACAAAATACCACATGCGGGCGCGCATGTACAGTGCTATTGAAACTTCGTGGCCCATGCGCAGAAGTCGTTTTTTGGCCTGGGCGAGTCTATTTTGAAGAAGTGGCGTTAGAAGAAGTGGGGGGGGTGTCGGTTGGTCGGGCGACAGGAGATGCGGCGCAGGTGGGCCAAGGGATACGCAGCACGAGGGAGGCACGTGCGATTCATGCACGAGTTGAGTGAGCCAGTCAGTCAGCAGTCTCATTGTGCAGTGGTTAGTGCTAGTCGAGTCTGTAAATCGTGCGTGGGTGACAAAAGTACCTACTCGAAGCATAAAGTTACCTGTATTTTTCCAACCAGCTGCAAATCCTACAGGCATTTTTGTCATCAATTTAAGAATTGTAATTCTTTTGTGTTGGTGGCTTTATTACTATAAAATGAAACATTTTTTTAGGTGCCCTGTTTGAGATGGCTACAAAGAAGAAGCAAAGAAAAACGGAAGACTAAAACTGTGAATTTAAAGTTGAATGTACCTTCCTATATAGTTTAAGTTTAAAAAATTTGGCTCTCAAAGGAAATTTCAATCCTTGTACTCTTGATATTTGGCTCTGTTGACTAATGAGTTTGCCAACCACTGGTCTAGGAAGTTCACTTCTAGCCTAGTTTAAAAGTTTTCATTTAATAGGTGAACTGATTTTCTAATCCTAAGCAAAATGCAACAATAACCACACTCATTTAGAAAACATTTTGGGAGCTACCTGTCTAGGAAAGACTCTGACTCAGCAGACAGAATCCAGATTTAGGCTTTATGCAAATATCATCATTAAGTAACAAGTAACATTTTCATGTTGAGAATTTTGTCATGATTTTAATTCTACATATGGGACCTAAACTTCATAATTATGACCAATTTCTCTGAAGAGTTTCTTTATTCATAGGCAATGAAATTACAATATAATATCTGCTACACTGGGTTATTGTGATAATGAAGTGAAATTATATATTTGAATGTACCATATAAATGAAAGGGGTTATTATTAATACCTTAATACTGCTTGTAAATAATTCTTTATTTAAACCACAAAATGGTTAATTTTTTCTAGATATAGGGCATTGCTGACCACCAAATCAAGAAGAATTAACATTTATGTTAGAAATTAGAATTTAAGTTAAACATGCATATTAAAAACTCTAAGATAATCATTAAAAGAGAAATGGTGTATATACTAAACTAGAAGGAAGGGAAAAAATGGAAAGGGTGGGGAGACATCAATATAGAACAGCATTTAATGCCCATAAGAGAGTAAGCTACACCTGATTTAGTCATTTTGTACAACAGAGCAGTCATATTGTAAATACTCAACCTGTGGGTCATGACCCTTTCACAGGGGTCACCTAAGACCATTGGAAAACACATATATAATTACATATGGTTTTTGTGGTTAATCACTATGCTTTAATTATGTTCAATTTGTAACAATGAAATTGGGGGTCACCACAACATGAGGAACTGTATTAAAGGGTCGCAGCATTAGGAAGGTTGAGAACCACTGATCTAAAAGAAGGCAGTAGAGAAAGAATAAAACCTAGAACAAAAGCGAGGTGAATGGAATATATAAAGTAAGATAGTAGAATTAATTCATACCTACTGACAATCAAAATTAATGCAAATTGACAAAACTCAGATAAATTTTATGGTATGTAAATTATATTTTAATAAATCTGTTAATTTTTAAAAAGTTGATTTAATCACACTATTGTCTATGCCCATGGGTTAAATTCTTCCCACCCACGCACCCCTGCCTTCCCTCTGAGATTGGATAGTCTGTTCCATGGGGACAGAAGGGGGTACAAGCTAGAAAGGGTCAATAGGGAAAAGGGGGACATGTGTAATAATTTCAACAATAAATATTTTTTTAAAGTTAATATCCTTGAACTCTGGGCAAGTGTCCCTGCCTTTCATATCAAATCAGCCAATTATATTTGGTACTAGAGGCCCGGTACATGAAATTTGTGCATTCACGAGGGGGGGGGGCTGCCTGCACGCTCTCCAATCCAGGACCCCTTGGGGGATGTCTGACTGCCAGTTTAGGCTTGATGGCTTAGGCCCATTCCCCACAGGGCTTAAGCTGGCAGTTGGACATCCTTAGTGCTGCCATAGAGGCAGGAGAGGTTTCCACCACCACTGCTGTGCCCATCAGCCATGAGCTCAACTTCTTGCTGAGTGGCACTCCCCCTGAAGGAATACACTGACCACCTGGGGCCAACTCCTGTGTTGAATGTCTGTCCCCAGGTGGTCAGTGCGTGTCATAGCAACCAGTTCTCTGCCGTTCGGCCGATTTGCATATTTCTAGTAGCCTTTTATTATATAGGATAGCTCTGAAACTTGGCAGTGGTGCCTGGCAAGTGTACACTTAGGAAATAGATTTTGCATAAATGTAAGAGGCTCAAAACATCACCTGGGACCACCTATAAGTAGTTCTTATGGAGTGGGCCTACCACCATGGGTCCAAAAGAATAGACAAGTTTTTTCTAAGGCATGAAAAGAGTAAGCTACACCTGATTTAGTCATTTTGTACAACAGAGCAGTCATATTGTAAATACCCACCTGAGGAGAGGGAGGCCCTGGGCACTTCTATGGAAGGTGTGCCAGAAGTGTTTGTGCAATGATTCTTTGTGAAGTCCTCTGAGGTGCCTTCAATGGCAGCCAAATCCAAAGAATTTTCAAAACCATGTTCCTTCTCACAAAGTAAGCATTAACAGAAAAAACATTATATTGACGATAATTTACTTTAAAATCCTTCCACAGAAATACACTTCAGTAAAGCCACATTTAAGTATATATTCTTTAGAAGATAGTTGATATTTGGAGGACCCTCCTCAGGAGTCCATATAACTCTAAAACTTATTAATAATTACTCTCTAATGCTAATGAAGGCTTTGGAAATAATTTTTCATACAAGATCTGGGAGCATTTTACTATATGGTTAGTAAATGATACAGGTACTTCCAACTTACATAAATTATGTATAAGAATCTGGCAATCTTCATACCCTCGGAGTAGGCTTAAAACTATGGCCCTATGCTTGTCCACCTTTCAACATCCTTTCTCCTCAACCACCCCTTACCTACTCCACATCCATTTAATAGAAGACCATGCCACCTTTTCCATTTAGCAGGCTAGGTGATCAGAACCTGGTTGGTTACATTGTTATTGAAATGGAACTTTCATGCAAAGGGCTTATCAAAGTTCATAATAGGATAAAGAATGGGTACTTCCCTAATTTAGAGGAATCGGTGATTTTTGGGTACTATCTTGCTAATAAATGCTTGTGTAAATTGCAGAATTCAGTCTGAGACTTGCTTTCATTGTAACATATAATAAAAGAAAACTCTGTACAAAATGTCCCTGGGCCCATAAGGGCTTGGCTGTTACATCACTCCAACATTGCTTGAGCATTAAAAACATAATTTTGAACTTTTTAGTAACTGAGTCGAGTTTAAATGTCCATGGAAATGATACCACAATGTGCTAATGATCAAATATAAAAGAAATTTTAAAATTCATTTTCCATAATAATAAAAAATGCTTTTAAAAATTCTACAGGAAGGAATTTCCTCCTTGTTGCCCATACCTTATACACTGAGGGACATTTTGATGAACTCACTCCAGAGAGATGTAACTCACTCCAGAGAGATGTAACTCTCATTTGCTTAACATGCTGATCACTGCAGCTTCAATATAGACTGTTTTTGGTCTTTGATTATTTTCTAATACATACTCCCTATAGTAGGAAGGATATAGCTCCTAATTACTTGCTGTATACCACCTAGATTTATCATAAGACTGTCACAGCGGTCAAACAGATAAATTAGTTTAGGTCAGTTTTCACCAACTCCTCAAAATATTGTTCATACATTGAGTTCCCCAACAAAGTAAGACCAACTTCCTTAGAAACAACTATGTTGACAGGAAATTTTCCAATTGGCACTCTGGGAGGATAATTACTATTGAACACTAATTTTCCAATTAATACTGTATAGTCATTAACATGCAATACATACCCTGGAGATTCAGACTGTGAAACCTAAAGTTGACAAGTTACATTATAGCAGAGGTCAGGTTAGAGACTTTGATGTTGTAAGAGTTTTTCATTTTAAAAACTTACTTCTCACATGCTAAAGAAGAAAAGAATATTAAAACAAAGAGATGCTGAGAAATGGGACTAATTTGGGAGAAGTTATATTGATTATCATCTCATTCTGTATACTTCTTCCATTCATCATGAAAGAGAAGTGTGCTTCTTACTGTTCTGTCTTACGTTTATTCAACAGAAAATATTTCTTTTTGTGTCTCATATAAAAGACTAACTAGATCAGCTAGAATGCAAAAGTTAGAGCAACACAGGCTATTGCCTAAATATATGTACATATACTCAACTCAGTTCTAGGGAATTTTTGTTGGGGAAATCTAAATGTTGTTTAATAAAAAAATTCATATAGAGGCTGTCAATTTTTAGGGTATTAGCACATGACAAGGGTGACATTTTCCCCTCAAAAATGGTACTTAGGAAGATAATCCTTGTTTTGAGAACAAACTTGACTAGCTTACTGATCATTAAACTGATAGTCTTCTGTTACCCAAAGATCCAGCCGCCCAGCTATTAAATTTTTTAAGACTTCTGTATCAGTTATAAATAGCACCCTTCCCAGTCTATTCCCTTCCCTGTGCTTTCCCTCCTCCATCACCCTAGTTTTTCCCATAATGCAGTTAATGTGTGGCATATAAGGGCTCCCAAGATATTTCCCTAAACTTGTGCCAGTATTTGCTCTGATTGTTCAGTTTCCCTGCAATACCAGTTCCTAAATACTTTGAGGATCATTCCTTGTTAGGTGACCAAAGAAATGAATATAATTATCAAGTAGCCATGTATTTTTCTGGCTATTGAGTAGTACTGCTTGCAGATCTTAATATAAATATTTAAGAAATTTTAAATATGCCATCTCTATTATCAGCAGGTACAATTTAGACTACAAGTGTTTAAATATATCTATTATTATTAAATCTGTCTGAATGCCTTTTGGCTATTCCTTTAAAAAAAAATCTGTAGAATCTGATTACTCACAACCTCCATTTTTCTCTTTCTTTCCTGAAGCCCAGTCTCTGCCATGGCGTTTTGGCTTCTACTCTTATTCCCCTACAGCTGCTTCTTAACACAGCTCCCAGATCCTGCATAAAAAGAAGCCATATCATGTCACTCCTCTGCTCAAACCATCTAATTATCCCTATCTTATCCAGAGTAAATGCCAAAGTGCATACTGTGATCTGCAAGGTTCCATCTGTCCCTATTACTTCTCTGAACTCATTTCTTAGTACTCCTCCCTTCATTCATCAGCAATAGCCACACAGACTGTCTTACTCTTCCTTGTGCATATCACTCATGCATACACCTCAGAATCTATGCACCGGTTGTTCCTTCAGGGGCATTAAACATATTTTAGATATTGGTTGAGCAAAGCCACTGATTTTTCAAGGAGGTCGCCCATAAGTAATTGGAACAGCCATCCAGTAATGTACCTGCTGAATATAAGTGGTGTTATTTCCTGGAGGAATTATTTACCTCAGACTCCTACATGGCTAATTCGTTCAGATCCTTCAAGTATTTATGTGAGCAGGACTGGCATATAGCAGGCCCTCATGAAATATTAGCTGTCTAAAAAAAGCTATAGTTTTTATATAAAGTTTGTATATATATATATATATGGTTTTCTGCTTAATTCAAAAAATCTAGTGTTGTTAATTCATTCAAAAGAGCAGCTTCCATATACACACATATGTTATACACACATATATTATGCAATTTAAACATTCATTATGCATTGACCCCTTATTTTAACAGATGTATAGAAAAGAAAACTAGAAAATAATTTCAAGATTCTACTTTTCCTGATTTAAATCAGTTTGCAAAAATTTTAGTGCATTCAACATCTTGAAAAGTAGCACGGAGGATCAAAATCAAAGATTTCTAAAATTATTTATATGTTGTTTAAACCATATAGCCACTTAAACCCTCATCATACAAATTCCACCTCTAAACCTGTTCCTTCTCTTTCCTTCTACTGCAGGCTTCCTGTTGGGAGCTAAGGATGCAAGAGGTTCAGTTCTGATAAAGAAGCTTCTACCATTAATCATTTTAAACAACATGCACTGAGATACAGAGAGTTGAGAACCAGTAATGTCATGGTGGTGAGGTCAACTCCCAGAAAACTGATGTCCCTTCACATTTGTGTACTTACTCTACTGATGACTGAGATCATGCTGCATGGGCTTGGGGCTGGTGACCTGTGAGTGACTGGGGTCATACCACTGCTCTGGCTGCTCTTCAGGGTCCCAGGACCAACTTCCTTGTCATTAAGATCTGTTGAACCAGTGCTTCTTCTAAATGAGAACAAACATTCTGAATTAACATGGAAACAGAGTAGCAACCAAAGACAAAGTCATGGAAAAGCTTATGAAAGAATAATGATGACATAAGGAACCACATGAAATACACCAGAGCCATATCATCAACTATCATGGCACCTTCTTCCTCAAAGACCTTTAGGGGATCACTAGGTTAAACCCTCTTTATCTGACTCTGGAGTTTTTCTCATTGAGTTTCATCCTACCCTTTCAACTATATCTTCCACTGCTCACCAGCATTCTTTCAGCCAGTCTAGGTTCCTTACTATCCTGTCAACTCACCATGCTCATGATCATGCTTCTTCCACCTCTAAGGCTTTTGCTCATGTTCTCCTGATGGAAAATGTCCTATTTGTCCCTCTCCATTCATACAAATCTTCCCCATTCTTCAAGGCTCATATGAAGTCCAGCCTCCCACACCAGACCTTTCCTGTCAGTCATAGGCCTTGTGACTTACAGTCTTTGCCAAATTATGTAGCACTTGACTACACAATACCTTGCTTGGCTTTCAAATTGTTCCACATATATAGGCCTGGGTGCCTCTTTTAACTGTGAGTGCCTTGGGACAGAATTCATGATGTATTTACCATAATACCTCTAGCACCTTCATAATGCCTCAGTATATATTTAATAAAAGATTGGAAATTATGGTTTTTTTTCTGTAATGACTGACTCATGGTGCACATTTAATAAATATGGTATGAAAATAATGACATTCTGTAAATAAGCTTGACTCAATTCCATGTTTGTTAAAAGTTATTCCATTCCACTCAATAATGATTAATAAAAAAAGTTGCAGCCCTTAAGGTGATCACAGATTTTCTCATTAAACTAGAGGCTCAGTGCACAAAAATGTGTGCACTCGGTGGGGGGGGGCATCCCTCAACTTGGCCTGCGCCCATTCACAGTCCAGGACCCCTTGGGGGATGTCCACCTGTCAACTTAGGCCCACTCCCTGGGGGATCAGGCCTAAGCTTGCAGTCAGACATCCTTCTGGTAGCCAGGGAGCCCTCGGGGGATGTCCAACTAAAGGCTTAGGCCCCTGAGGGAGCTGTG